CAAAAATTAAAGATTTAAATACTAAAAAAAATATTTATGAAGTAATTTAAGCTGTTTTTGGTCTCATGAGACCTCAACTTTCTAGTGACAATATTACGCTTCTTGGGTAATATTTTAATGAATCAACGTTATAGATGGGGCTGGATCTCTGTGCATTAGGAGATGTTTTATTCTGTTTTTTTTTCTAACATGAAATAGATGTAACGTTATCAGGGGTCAAAAGACTACACCTGTGACAACAGCCAGCAAAGATCTGAACCAACTTTATCTCACACATGTTGAGCGCATTTGGTCAGACCGTCTGACCGGGTTGCCCTGCTCCATTGTTGTAACATATTGCTTCAAACAACTGTGATAAAGTGAGTCATTTCAGTGTCCTCCCACATGCTGGAAAGACTCTGACTGTCTTGATGCTATTAAATCAAACATTTGAAGCATTTGGATTCTTGATATTTAAAAACACAAGGGCTTATTCAAAGATTTTGCATAAAAATATGGCAGTTATTTTTTTTATTGCTTTAGCTAACAGAAAAGACTCATCTTTTTTATCAAGAGTTCTGTTATTCATAAAAAATGCTTCTTTTAATACAAGAGCCTTATACCAAGCCAGAATAAAACTATAAAGTGAGAGTTTATCTAAATCAATTAGATACTACAGAAGGCTTATTCTTTACTGAAAGACATGAACAAAGTTAAATACTTCAAACCTTATAATTTACATTTTGATTTATTCTCTAAATGTTTTCTTGAAATGGGAGACGTCTGGGGGCAGACGATTACGCCTGAGTGGCTGGTCCTTTTGACTTGGATTTTCACTAGTGACTGGAATTAACATGGCTTAAATTCTCTCCACCCCATAGCTAATTGAAACAAGTAATCTCTAGAGTTTGCCTTGCATAGAGGGATGGGAGGACTCAGCTGCATTACATGTTATCCTCTCAGCAGACACGTCCAACAAGGCGTTTCTGCAGCAAAGAGCAAAGCAAGGCAACAATGGGCCTCCTGGAAGAAATAACTTTTACTTCTATTCTCCACAGCTGAATGAATCACTTGTGCTAACAATGCTCAACAGGAACAGGACAGTGTTTGAGACATTGACAGATGTAGGTAAGTGCATGTTTTATACTAGTAATCAGGTGATATAAAGCATACTGTGCACAAATTAGCTTTGCATTCTTTTGCATTATTTCTGTGGCAACATCACAGCTCCAAAGAGTGTATAGTCAGCCAAATGTGTGACTGGAATGTACTCCAGTAGAGGTGCTGATGAATATTCAGAGCTCAGCTGCCTCGAGGGTCCTCAGAGACAAGGATCCCCACCCCCCTTACCCTTTACTTCTACACACACACACACATGCACACACACTGCGACTCTCCTCCACTTTCTCTTGATCTGGTGGAGTGTGTCCAGCACTCTACAGGTGTGACCCACTCAGACCTGTGAAAGACTCAACACAACACTCCAGCCTGTGATCACTAAGGCAAAAAGGAGCAGCTGCACAAATCTGAGAAAGCAAAGGTTCAATTATCACAGAGCGGAGGCATTAAAGAAAGCAGAATCTACAGTAGCAGGGCTGTGGTCTAAGGTATAAGATAACTTTGTGGCTGCTTATGATCCTCCTGTTGGCCTGGGGTGCCATGAGGGCACTCGCATTTCCACAAGACAGGCTAAGAACTTCAGCAATTAAACTTGGTAATGTTATAAGACTCATATTTTTACGCTAAATTTAATGATTAATGATTTCTGCTTGGGTCTCATTCATGGGACATATTTCATCCACTCTGTCACTGTGTTTAAGTGGATTAACAAGTACAAGACATTTGTTATTTTACTCTGAAACAGTGGGCTGATATTAATTGTCCAGCTCTTTGGTGGGTAATCTCATTTAACAAAATTGATTTTTTTTTTCTTTTGCAAAAATAGCCCAGCCTGGGGTTTCTTTATGCAGTTTCCTTCCATTGGTTTTCTTTAAACAGTTAAGTTTATCTTGTAGTCCCAATGTTAGGTTTACTGTTCTCTAAATTAACCTTAGGTATGAGCATGTGTTTGCATCGCTGTCTTTCCTGTTTTCTCTGTGATGAAAAAAAGAAGACCATTCAATGATTCTTGAGGTATTAAGCCCTCCCACCCTGTGACCATGCCAGGACCAGCAGTTCTAGGAAATGTAATGATTGGTGTATTAAAAACCCGAAATGGAGCAGCACCGTCAGTATATATGCAGTCACATTCAATTAATCAGAAAATAACAGAAAGCTTTATTTATATCAATAAGTCCAAATGAAACACAGTAATCAGGGTTCTTCTTCTTCAGTCAATTCAGTTTATTTCTATAGCGCCAATTCACAACACATATCATCTCGAGGCACTTTACAATTCAACCAGATCATGCAGTCAAATTGATTCAAAGTTTTCTATCTAAGGAAAACCAGTTGATTGCATTGACTTTTAGCCCTACAGATGTCATCGCACAATAAATACCTGCATGGATGATGCCTGTAAAATTGGGACTACAGCGTTCAGGAAACGAGGTACAAAGAACTATGTTGTAGCTCTCCATTATAAAACTCAATAATATGAAGTCGTGTGCTTTAGCACGTGTCACGCAGAGCACATGACACAAAATAATGTTTTTTTTGTAAAACTCCATCAAGTGGGCTGTACCTACACGTTCTGTCATGCAAAGGAAAGCAGGCAATTGTATAGCTCCTAACTGTAGATAGAAAATTCAGGAGGTCCCTTTGCTAAATGAACTGGCAATAGTAAGCATACTGCTTCTTCTTTCTAGCTCCTCTTTTACAGCCAGCACTTATCATGGCGGCTGCTCATGAACTTCTTCTTTGGCTATGAGCAATGTTCTTCAGGACACATTAACATGCATGTTTCAGAGGTATCTCTGCTCCAACACTCCTGAATCAAATGATTCCATTACCTCCTTAGCAAGTCATCAGGGGTTGCAGAGGCTTATTAATGTTTATTTGAGACTGGTGTAGTAGTTAAGTAGCGTTTTACACATAGGAGAAATTTGATGTGGTGCTACACATAGACTCCCAAACACATAGCTTGCTTTTGTGCAGGAAAGTGAAGCTGTATGTTAGAATCCGACACAAAATAAATTAATTACTCACAGACTTTTGTTCTCAAGCTTTTATTAATCTATCTATCTCAAAATTATGTCCTCCAGTAGACTAGAGACCTGTCCAGGTCTGTATCCCACCTTATGTTCAGGGAATTGCTGCAGATTGGCACCAGCCCCCTGTGACCCCGACAGACAAGTGGTAGAAGATTGCTTAGAAGATTAGTATGCTACGCCAGACCAATGGGAAAAAAAAAAACAACAAAAAACGTTTTTATGATAAACACTGTGGTTTCATGAAGAGCGTGGTTATTACCTCATATTACTATCAAAAGTGTTCTTAATTTGAAACATTTTCCAAATTTAAACTAACTCTATAATAGCAGTTCAATAATGTGCCTTTTTAGAAGGCCTTTCAGTAGTTGCTTCATGTAATGAGACCTTCAGCTGTGGGGTGTGCTCTAACTATTCTTTTCATTTTTTTGTGTATTTTCTATTTTTTTGTTGTTAGTTTGGCTGGTCCAGCCAGCAAATGTTTTTAATTATTTATTTTTTTAATGCACCTGTTTTTTTTTTTCTTATGACGTTTGTTGGTATATGATTCCAACGTTATTTAAATTTTTTTCCAGTTGATTGCTTTTTTTGTTAGTTTGTAAGCTGATGTGATGTAAAACACTTTGACAGTGAGATCTGTATTTTTTACATGCTACATAAATCTTAGTTTACTCAGTTTACGAACATCATTCCTTTTAGAAGAAAACATTAAACTTACACCAAATCAGAATTCTCTGCTTGTCTTTCATTGAACAGTTTCTTATGCTGAATTTTGTGAAGACTGTTTCACATTACAAACTTATGATCACAGTCCAAGTTCACCAAAGTATACCAGCATCCGTGAAAAGTAAGATGTAGAGGATAAACTCTAAAAATTCTCAAGGGGAAGATGAGTTTTTGATGCATTACCTAAACCTTTAAGGAGGATGCATGCCAGAACCTAAATTTTGCTGGGTAGTCATACTGTATAATTAATGTTTGATGCACAAAAACAATACATTTTAGAGATGATTTTGTCCCTCGTTAAAGACATAAAGATTTGTACTGTTCTTAATGAGCTTTGCAGGAACTGGACCCCGAATTACCTCAATGAAGCTTGAGGGAGCCCTTCCCAGCAATCTCTATTTAAATGAAAGATAAAAAAATTGTTTTCCGTTTTTCTGGAAATATACTGTTGTATAAAAATGCAAAAGGTTCTTTAAAAATAGCATTAGGTATTTTTTAGCCTAGCTTTATTAAAAATGTATTTCACTATTAAGAAAACAAATATATTGTGTGCAATGCAACATCTGTATGGTTGTGAAACTGTGTCCAGTGCATTTGGGTATTATACACTTACAAAACACTAACCTATAGTATCCAGATTGAGTTTTCGCACTCAATGATTGGACTTGATATGTTCGTCATGGTTTACGCACAGCATGCTTTGAGACTCAACATACTGCAGCGGCAGCACCTGTAACGTGTTTGACGACCCACAATCGTCAGAGTGGAAAGAAAAGAAGCCTTATTTTTGTCAGGAGTAAAAAAAAAAAGAGGATAACTAATTGAATTTTCTCAACTCTGGACATATTTGTATGAGTTGGGCCATTTCCAAACCCCTTTGATTTAACGATAGGCACTTTAGATAGCCCAATGCATCCTTAAGATTGACAAATGCAACATCTTACAGTGAGGTCCGATGCTGCTGGGGAGTTGGTGGCACGAAGTGCGCAAATCACTGTCAAAATTGAGCATTTTTATGTTGCATGTCTGCTAGTGATTGAAACGCAGTGAGTATGACGCTCATATGCTGCAGTTGTTCAAACATTCTCCCATTTATCGATGCCATGTTTTCTCTCTGATGAAGGCGGTGGGTTGGGATTGCATTTAACATCAATCACATCCAGTGCAAGGAGCGCATACAGTCTTCAGTCTATCAGCTGGAGAGTGTATGCTCTCGCCTCGGGTATGCGCTTATTTGCTGTTTTATCCAGTAAAACAAAAGAAAAATCTGATGCCGTTTTGACTGAAGAAGCTTTGGAGACTGCTACTACCGGAGCTGTCCTTTATTTCCTACTCGAACAAAGCCTGAAGTTGGGACTTGAGGAGTTTTCAGCACCACTTTTCCGTGGACAGCGCTCGCAATGAGTCCGGGAGATCGACGCAGTCTCATAACGCGTTTGGATTTCCGCTTAATATTATTTAGCAACAGTGTTTTCTCACTGAAAACACAACCGTAGTTGTTCGGGAAATCTTGTTTTCTCTTATACCAACATTAAAAAAACGAGTTGTTCCTTGGATACGGGTCCTTCCACGTACATTTGTATTGAGCATGAAAGCTGGGTAAGTACAGCAAAATTTACTGTAGTTAAATGTTTAGAAAACACTGTGACTCTTACTAAATGTTAAAGCATATATTTGATGGGGTTGACGTTACTTGTCGTTTGGGTAATATGCCAATCTCCAAAGCATTTGAATGTTTTTTTGTTTTTTTTTGAAGTGATAAACAGTTGAGTGATTGGGATCAATTTTGCAAAGTAAACCCGCGGATAGCGTTTAAAATCTGTACAACGCCCTGGCCTGTTAACGTATTGTTGTTTTATTTGTGTTATTTTTGTTTTCTACGTGTGAAGCTTTATGCGTGGTGCTCTGTGCCTCTCTGTGCCGCAGAGGCGCCTGAAGTCTCGCAAAATATGATAAAAGAATGACTCAACGTGGAAACTGCTGCAGCCGCGGGGTTTAATATAATTATAGTTGAGGTTCTCATTAACCGTGAATGATTTTTTTTTTTATTTGTTTATTTATCATTTATGTTATTTTTTTTCATGAACCGATCCCGATTGGTTCCAAGGGCGCAACCAGCCGCTTTATGTTATTCAGCTGCACCCCAAAGATTCATCTCATCCCCCCGCCCCTACTTCTCTCCTCGGGTCCCCCCTCTCAGCCCCATGAACAAGTTGAATCACGCTGAGGGTAGGGGGACGCCGGGAAGCACGGGGTATCCTCACCCTTGGGCACCCTGTCTTTCTCGGTTGGTATTCTCTTTGCTTTGAGTCTGCTGGAGCTGAAGGTTTGCATGCCACTGTGGATGGACAGATGTGCAGCCTTGACCATGCAAGCCCAACATAATAAGAAGCTAGTCCTGCACACCGCAGCGATAACTTAATGGGCATGCATGGCTGTTTCTTAAATGCTGCTAAGGTTTCTATTATGCCCCAATTTGCTTATCTAAAGGCATGTAACTAAGAGCTGGAGTTCATTTCAAGGTTCATAAAATGAGTAAATACCTGACACACAAGGAAACCCTGGTTTTAATACTTGTTTCCATTTTGAGCTGCTCCCCGGGGCCTTTTTGCAGGGCCACAGATTAGCTTTGTGCTGTAGAGCTCTCACAGGTTCTATTCATGGCAGGGGGTTGCTATGATTACAGCCAAATATGCTATTGTATGCATTCCCTCTGAACTTCCAGACTAAGGGGGCTATGCTCTTCATATCAGTGTGTAATTATCTGAGAAGTGAGACTCAGCACAAAAGGGCTTTTAATTTAACCTCGTCCAGGTTTTGAGCTCCCATGAGGTGGATTTTCTGTCTTAAGTTGGGTTTTTCTTGTTGTGATGTTTTTGAGTGACTGATAGCCTACCTGGCTTTTGCAACAAAGCATGCTTAAGAATTCTCCTCTGGAGAAGGATTGAGGGAAATACTTGGGGTGTAGAATGTGTAGCTGGCAGGGAAGCTTTTTCATCCAGCCTTAGATTTACTTTGCCAAGCTTTGCTTTGCTTATCTTGTCATTTGAGTTAGTTTAGCAAGTGCAGACTCAGCAAATGAGGCCTATGCTTTGGCTGATGCAAAGTTATCTCTAATATGTCATGTGCTTGAATTTAAGCAGCTATGAAGAGATACTGTAGCACAGTCTCATTCTCTGTTTAATAATACAGGAGAACTCAGCAGCACACTATGGAATAGCTAGCCTGCAAAATTCAGACTATACATTTCATTCTACTAGCAAAGGGTCAAACAATGAATGCATTGCATTTATTTCGCAGAAACTATGATGATCAAAGTGTCTGAAATCTCTTTAGGAGAAAAGGGGGTGTTTGATCCTGCTTTTCAGTCTTCAGACAGATTTCCAAGCAGTCAAATATTTCACACTAGCTGCTGTACAGATCTTTCAGACAGACTACAACAAGCAAATATGTACACTGTTTCCCAAAACAGACCTGTGGTCAAATTCCCCACAGACCTGTTTTGTTCCCCTTTTACAAAAGCTTGTGGGGGAAAATGTGTGCACAGAGCGTTGAGCCCAGGTTCCAGCTTCATCCTCCTCCTGGCAGACGCCATCTGTTCACCGAGGGAGGTTTTCCAAACAGTTCCATATAATAAAGACAGACGACGTGGGGAACATGGCTGATGTAACTTGCTCTGTCATAAGTGGTACCCTAAATAGTGGGAATATAAGAAAAAATCAGAAATGATCAACATGCTGCTTTCACATCTTTCTGATTGTTCATATAGACAACACAATATGTGCGAAACTGTTTTTTTCATTGCATTTTGAGTTATATCTTTCCTGCTAAAAGATTATCTTTTAAAATATATATGTTTGTTTTTATTGCTTGTGTTACTGTCTTTACATAGACATTAAATTAACCTATTTGGTATAATAATGAGCATTTTACATTCAGGGAGATGAATTCTATTCTTGGGTTAATGGAAAGTGTTGGTCCTTTTAACAAGATATCACCTATAAGCAGACAGCATTTTATCTTAATGTTCCAGTTTATTATTGTGTATGCATCTAAATGTGAAAAAGCAACAGGTATAAATTAGACTTTTATTTAGCAGTTTAATGTCAGTAATAAATGCAGGGTTTGTCAGTTGCAATCAAATAGTGGTTTCTGCTGATTAGATGGATCCTCCCACACACCACAGTTTTAATTCTTTTAAATCATTTATTTTATAATAACATCAAAATAACTGGAATTATCAATATTGACAGGAAAACATCAACAGAAAAGATGCCAATGGGTGATGTTGTGTGTTTCCTGAGTCATCACAGACATAGATTCTTCCTGGAGCGGCATTGTGTGAAATGGAGTGTGAAATGAGTGCACTTAACATCTTTGCAGTGGATTATGCGCATTATCTTACACAAGGGTTTGAAACCATTTTAGCTCCTGCCCATAAATCTACCATCCGCTAAAATTCACCTTCAAGTTTTTTCAATGATTCGTCATGTGAGGTTTTTTTCATTTTTTTCAGTCAGTTCATGCTCAGACATCCAAACTGCCAGAAAGGGTGTTTGTCCATTATTAAGGAAATTGCTCATTGTTGACTCTACTGAAACACTTTTTTACACGGTTCTTATTTCCTTTCCTCTTTGTTTTGTTTCTCAATAATGAGTGAATATGATATATACACAAAACACCTAATAATCCTGCATTTCTTCGTTTGTAGAACTTTGCAGATTCAAGCATATATATTTTCTTACATAGAAATGGTAAGGTAGCCATGCAGGAGTATGTACATTGAAAATTTTTTCACACCATTTGAAAAACCCCATGTTGTGATGTTAGAAGCAAAGGTTTAAGTTCTTGAAATGAACTTGATAGACCAACACATTGTAGCACATAATGTGAAGTAGAAAGATAGGTAGCTTCAAGAACTTTTCGCAAACAAATCTAAAAACTGTGCCATGTATTCCTTTTAAGAAGCACTCATTCATTAATTTGAAGAATTCTTTTAATGCATTAAAGTCAGAACTCTTAACATATTTCTACCAGCTTAGCACATCCAGATGTTCTCATTTTTACATTTTCCATTTTGCAAAACAGGCCAAACTCAATCAGATTTGATGAATAACACCTGGGAAGGGAGCAACAGTCTTGGAGGATGTGCAATCCTCATGAAACTTGACACCTCTTGTTTTACAGACATGGGAAACTGGCAACACAGATGGTGAGAACTTGAAGTCACACTGTATCATGAGTCTTTAAATACATTCCATTTAAACCCATACCAAACTTTAATTATGGTTTGCCTTCACTACAAGCATTCAAAACTGTACTATTATTCATACTGCTGCTGATGGAGCCATACCTATAGATCAGAGCTTGTTACATAAATACAAGCTCTATAAGCCAGTTAAAATCATAAATTAAAGTCTGCAAAAAAAAAAAAATAAAACAACTTAAGTCTGCAGAATATTTGAAAGTTTTCTGAACAACACATTCATCTCTCAGATGATCACAAAGGTGGTGTGTGCCACTGATGAAGATATTAATTGTGACATGTGAGGTAATCATGCTGGTTTACATAAACATTTAAATATCATTGTGAAGCTTGTGCATGATGCTGTGTGATGAATGGACTGAAACTGCACAAGGCTCTTGCAAGAGAACTAGTTTTCAGGGATTACCAATATTTTCTGACCCATTAAGGTGACTAGCTAATATACCAGGTTAGACTATTTAGAATATTGCTCTATTGTATTGGAGAGACCGATCCACTAGACCAACTTCATCCCTGTTTAATCACAGCCGTTAAACCAAAAAAAGTCAGTGTGCTTCTTGACTCCAATGTAGGAAAAATTGAAGGGTAGCTAGGTGCACAGTTCTGAAGAACCATGAAAAAAGCTGGATGACCAGCTCTTTGGGGTATCTAATGATTATCATCTGCAAGATATTGATTTATTTCAGCTATTTTCAGCTATCGAGTGATTAAGGAGCTGTTTAAGCAGCAGGCAACAATAGGTGATTATTAGTCATCATGATAGACATTACTTATGGGTTCCCCTAGGAGTCAGTATTTAAACCACTGCTTTTTATTATATCTAAAAGCCACATATGTAAGGTTACAAAAGTATTAAGTATTATGTTTTGTTTGCCTATGATACATATGTTTTACGTAAAGGTACAGGTGAGTGTTTACAGGAGCTCTTGGATGATATCAAACCAGAAATAAAAAAGCTAAAAACTGGTGTGACGATAACAAATTGTCATTGGATCTGGAAAACAATTAAGTTCAACGTTATTTGAAAATTAAAGAGGAAATCTAGATGTTAGAGTCTTAATGGACGGGGTAAAGG